ACCTTTTCAAATGTGTGGTTCATATCCACTTAAAACCAATTTAAACAAAAATGCAGTGCATGTATACAGAATAACTAAAGAGGAAGAGTAGCCCAGGAAACTTCTGGGCCAGAATGTTGGTTTGGGCTGTAGTTTAAAATCTCTGTCAGCTGTTGGGAGGTCCTTTCACTGATTTCTTCTATTTATTACATTGTATAGTAAATTTTATTGGGGAGGAACTGTCTAAATTGTTTTCACAGCATCACACAGAATCACAGAATTTCTAGGTTGAAAGAGACCTCAAGAACATCGAGTCCAACCTCTGACCTAACACTAACAAGTCCTCCACTAAACCATATCACTAAGCTCTACATCTAAACGTCTTTTAAAGACCTCCAGGGATGGGGACTCCACCACTTCCCTGGGCAGCCTACTCCAATGCGTAACAACCCTATCGCTAAAGAAGTTCTTCCTAACATCCAACCTAAACCTCATATGGCGCAACTTAAGCCCATTCCCCCTCGTCCTGTCACCAGTCATGCGGAGAATACACCAACCCCCACCTTGCTACAGCCTCCTTTAAGGTATCCATAGAGTGCAATAAGGTCGCCCCTGAGCCTCCTTTTCTCCAGGCTGAACAAGCCCAGCTCCCTCAGCTGCTCGTCGTAGGACTTGTTCTCCAGGCCCCTCACCAGCTTCGTCACCCTTCTCTGGACTTGCTTAAGCACCTCGATGTCGTTCTTGTAGCGAGGGGCCCAAAACAGAAGACAGTACTCAAGGTGCGGCCTCACCAGAACCGAGTACAGGGGGACAATCACTTCTCTAGCCCTGCTGGCCACACTGCTTCTTATGCAAGCCAGGATGCAGTTGACCTTCTTGGCCACCTGAGCACACTGCTGGCTCATATTCAGCTGACTCAGGTACTCCCAGGTCCTTCTCTGCCAGGCAGCTTTCCAACCACTCATCTCCCAGCCTGTAGCTCTGCTTGGGGTTATTGTGCCCCAGGTGAAGGACCCGGCACTTGGCATTGTTGAACTTCATTCAGTTGACTTCAGCCCATTGGACAGCCTATCCAGATCCTCCTGCAGAGCCTTCTACCATCGAGCAGATCGACACACGCACCTAACTTGGTGCAATCTGTGAACTTACTGAGGGTGCACTCAATGCCCTCATCTAGATCATCGATGAAGATATTAAAGAGGACCAGCCCCAGTACCGAGCCCTGGGGGACTCCACTAGTGACCGGCCTCCAACTGGATTTGACTCCATTTACCACGACTCTTTGGGCCCGGCTATCCAGCCAGTTTCTAACCCAACGAAGCGTATGCCAGTCCAAGCCATGAGCAGTCAGTTTCTTGAGGAGAATGCTGTGGGAAACGGTGTCAAAAGCCTTGCTGAAGTCAAGGCAGACCACATCCACAGCCTTTCCCTCATCCACCAAGCACGTCACTTTGTCATAGAAGGAGGTCAGGTTCGTCAAGCAGGACCTGCCTTTCATAAACCCAAGCTGACTGGGCCTGATCACCTGGTTGCCCTGTAAGTGCTGTGTGATGACACTCAAGATAATCTGCTCCATGAGCTTCCCTGGCACTGAGGTCAAACTGACAGGCCTGTAGTTCCCCGGGTCTGCCCTCTGGCCCTTCTTGTAGATGGGCGTCACGTTTGCTAGCCACCGGTCTACTGGGACCTCCCCCGATAGCCAGGACTGCTGATAAATGATGGAAAGCGGCTTGGCCAGCTCTTCTGCCAGTTCTCTCAATATCCTCAGGTGGATCCCATCTGGCCCCATCGACTTGCACACATCCAAGTGCCATAGCAGGTCGCCAACCATTTCCTCATGGATAGTGAGGGCCACATTCTGCTCCCCATCCCCTTCCACCAGCTCAGGGTACTGGGTATCCAGAGAACAACCGGTATTGCCACTAAAGACTGAGGCAAAGAAGGCATTAAGCACCTCAGCCTTTTCCTCATCTTTTGTAACTAGGTTTCCCCCCGCATCCAGTAAAGGCTGGAGATTCTCCTTAGTCCTCCGTTTTGCGTTGATGTATTTGTAAAAACATTTTTTGTTGTCTTTAACGGCAGTAGCCAGACTGAGCTCCAGATGAGCTTTGGCCTTTCTCGTTTTGTCCCTGCACATCCTTACAACATCCTTATAGTCCTCCCAAGTGTCCTGCCCTTTTTTCTAAAGATTTTAAACCCTCTTTTTTCTCCTAAGCTCAAGCCACAATTCTCTGTTCAGCCAGGCCAGTCTTCTTCCCCGCCGGCTCGTCTTTGGGCACGTGGGGCAGACCGCTCCTGTGCCATTTATTTCCGTCTTGAAGAGTGCCCAGCCTTCCAGGATTCCTCTGCCCTTCAGGACTGCCTCCCAAAAGACTCTGCCAGCCAGTGTCCTGAGCAGCTCAAAGTGAGCCCTCTGGGAGTCCAACATAGCAGTTTTACTGGTCCCCTTCCTGGCCTCGCCAAAATAGAGAACTCTACCATTTCGTGGTCACTCTGCCCAAGACAGCTTCCAACCACCACATCTTCCACCAGTCCTTCTCTGTTTGTGAAGAGAAGGTCCAGCGGGGCACCTCCCCTTCTAGGCTCACTGATAGCTGTGTCAGGAAGCTATCTTCCACGCTCTCCAGAAACCTACTAGACTGCTTTCTCTGGGCTGTGTTGTGTTTCCAGGATTTGTCAGGGAATTTGAAGTCCCCCATGAGAACAAATGCTGGTGATTTCACAAGTTCTGCCAGCTGCTTGTAGAACTCCTCATCTGCCTCCTCATCCTGGTTCGGCGGTCTATAACAGACCCCCACCAGGATGCTTGCCATGTTGGCCTTCCTGCTGATCCTAACCCACAGGGACTCAACCTTATCATTCCCAGCTTCAAGTTCTGCGACATCAAAACTTTCTCTGATATAGAGAGCCACACCACCACCCCTTCCATGCTGCCTGTCCCTTCTGAAGAGCCTATAGCCAGTCATTACAGCACTCCAGTCATGAGAGTGGTCCCACCATGCTTCCGTGATGGCAACCAAGTCGTAGCCTGCCTGCCGCACAATGGCTTCCAGCTCCTCCTGTTTGTTGCCCATGCTGAGTGCATTAGTGTAGATGCACTTCAGCTGGGCCATTGCTTTCTCTCCCAGCCTTGCCATTGTTCCCCCTGGCACAGCTCTAACAAGCCTTGTTTCATCCCTGTCCCCCTTCTTACCTAGTTTAGAGCCCTCTCAATGAGCCCTGCCAGCTCCTGGCCCAGGATCCGTTTTCCCCTTAGAGATAGGGACCTGTCTGTGGCCATCAGGCCGGGTGCCGAGTAAAGCGCCCCATGGTCAAAAAAAAACAAAATTTCTGTGTTGGCACCAGCCTCTGAGCCACGTGTTTATCAGGTGGGCTTTCCGTGTCCTCTCTGTACCCCTCCCTGCCACCATAGGGATGGATGAAAACACCACCTGTACTCCCGCTCCCTCCACTAATTGTCCCAGTCCCCTAAAGTCCTGTTTGATAGCCTTCAGGCTTCTCTCTTCAATGTCATCACTGCCAGCCTGGACTATCAAAAGAGGATAATAGTCAGAGGGGCGAACCAGGTTGGGAAGCAACCAACGTCCCTGGCAACGTCCCTGACCCTGGCCCCAGGGAGGCAGCAAACTTCCTTACGGGTAGGGTCAGGCCAACAAATTGGGCACTCTCTTCCCCTATATATATATAAAGGAGCCTGGCTTACTTGCTCTCCGTTTGGTGGAGATATACTTCCTTACAGGAACTCATTGGGTGCCTGTAGATTGCTGTCTAATCCTCACACCTTACTGTAACACAAAGCAGTGTATGGTGGACCTGGCTTAGCTCCTTCCATGCTTACTCTGGTACAAATATGGGGGGCATTGCCCTGCTTCTGTCACCAACATCTGGAGCTCCATCTCCCCCCTGCTCCTGCTGCTCAGCTCCTGCTGCCCCCAGCTGGCCTGGCTGTGGCAGGGCTCCTCCAGGTTGATGTGCACAGTACAGGCTTACTGCCCAAGATCACTGCTTGCTTCAATTTCACAGCATTTTTGAGGTTGTATTTTCTAACAGATGGGCTAAAGATAGCATACTAAATCTATACAGATATGGATCTTGGCATTTACCATGAGTTTGAGGGGTAGTTGTTTTATTTTACCCATTTGCCTTGAGTTCATGAGACATTAACTTGGGATGCAGTGCTTAAAATATGGGTCCTTTAAAAATAAAGAAGAACAACATCAAAAACCAATACCCTAAATCTGTTTGAGCAGAGGAGCATGCGCAGTTTCAGCATTATGTGAGTTAATTTAGTTAACTGGGAAGAATTTTTGAATGGTGTATATGTTTTCTTGCAAATTCAGTGGATTTTACATAATAAGAGAAGAGTACAAGCCATATTATTCTTAAGAAGTATTTTCAGTCTGTTATAACTTCTGAGTCAATTTAGCTTTATAAGATTTATTTATGGGGTCAATTAAAGGCAAGTAAACAGCACTGGGTGCACGGGGAGTCTGGGCTCCTCCAACACACACACACGTTACATCAGGCAGCTGTTTTTTATGCTCCTAGGCTAATACATATTCATTACTGCTTCTAGAAAAGGCAGGGTTATTATAAGTAGTTCCCGGAATCCGAACCCTCCCACTGGTGCATGTGTATCAGTCTCCGGTGGTCCCTCTGGGGGTCTCTCGTGCTGAAGGCTCGTAGTCTTCCTCCCAGGCTTCTTCCTTGTCCTTCTCCTTAGTCCATCTGGGCCAGATATCAGAGACTTGCGCAGCGTCCCATGCAAGCTTTGTCTTTTAGTTGTCCTTCAGCTTTCCCCTTCTCCTTAATCTCTTGGCTGGATATCAGAGACTTGCGTAGTGCCCCATGCAATAGTCACAATAGTTAGCAGTTATTCTGAACCCCCCCCCAGATATCAGAGGCTCAGGGTTTACCCTTCAAGCCTTCTATTGACACGAATTGCTGAAACACTCCTTACAGTGCTGTTTCAAGCTTGCCTTTTGCCTAATATTTCAGCCCAAATACTTCTAGAAGTCTTCAAAAAAAAAAAAAAAAAAAACACCTTTTTAATGGGTAGTAATCTATGCTCTTAGGGAAGAGGCTGGAAACATCACACACAAGTTAAAACACTTATGTATTGTTATGACTTGTGGAAAATAGACTCTATAACCTCGGAATAGTTATAAAGCAGGTGTGTTTATTTGGCCCTGTGCACACACTGGACACAAGGTTCCACCTAACTTGTGCACCAATGATTATTGGTAGTGTGCTTATATTAGTTGGACAAATACATATTCATTTCATTTCCCTTAAGTCACTTGTATGTTCATCAGGTCTCCAAAGAATCATTAACATAGGTTCTGTCTCTACTTGTATACGTAGTGGAATCCTTGGGTGGTCAGCCATCTGGCATACTCTGGTGGTCTTTTGTTGAAGGCCAGAAGTCTTCCTCGCTTCTTATCTTCTGGCCTTTCCTGTCTCTGACAGACTTCAGTAGTCAACCCAGTTCTTGCTGGTTCCATTATCTGTGCATAGGGTCTTTTGTTCCCTTATCTTTCAGTGGTTAATATACAGTTGTGGTAGCTAAGACCTAGGAATCACCATCCCTGTGTCAGTTAACGCTGTATTCAACAGCCAGTTGAAACCACATAGGGCTAATTGTTGTTACCTTTGCTCTTTCCACTTTTTATGTGCTAATAACACTAACATTGGTTATTCTTGTGGCTTTTCTGGTGGAATAAAGTAATTGGAAACTGTGATATCACGTTTCTACTTGTATTCTCACAGTAACTTGGATCAGCTCTTTGAGATGATGTTTTTTGTTCTCTTCCTTTCTTGCCTTTTTCCTCTCAGTAGCACTCAAAGCCAGAGCCAGGAATGTGGAGAAATAGCTTCTACTCAGTACAAAACAAACAAAACCAACAATGTGAGTAGTGTGCAGGATGATTTCCTGTCAGCATGGAGTGAGAAACAACCTTGTTAGCAGAGAGCTCAGGCTTTCAGGCCAAGGGCCTGCTATCTATCCTGGGTGTTGATAGGCGGAAGATGTGGATAAATGTTGTCCTCCAAAAATGAACAAATACCGGCTTCCGTTTATAAATTCCAGGTTATAACTCCCAACTAAGACAAGAAAACCTGTCACTGAAACAAAGTTCACATTATTTAACTGAAGCATATCAATTTGTAATAATTACCAATGACATACTATCTGTGTCAAAATCAGTAAAGTAAGGTGCTTGATTAGTTAAATCACCATGATAATACTGCAGAATAATAATTCTTGATCTCCACTGGTGTGGGAGTATAGTCACAGAGGTCGACAAGCCCCATGGTTGGCGCTAAGATCAAACTCCTGATGATGAAGCCCTGAGGAATGTAAACAAGTTAGAAGGAACAACGAAGGGCAATTCAGGAAACACCTTGCTGTCTCAAACTGTTTTTTCTCCAACCATTAAGACATGGAAGTTGCTAAATGTTTGCTGTTGCCAGGCAAAGTTGTTAACTAAACTGGTGGGAAAGTACCACTTGTAGAGCTAATAGTATAAGGGAGCCTGTCCTCAGTAAAGTGGTTGTTGAAGTTATTGATCCTTAAAGAAATCCTGTTGTCTGGATGGTCATTACACCACACATTGGGTATAAATATCACTAGTGTTATAAACGAAGTCTCAACTCAATCTGAATTTTGTAATATTTATAAAACAAATATTTATAAAAGGTATAAAAGGCAAGTAAACAGCGCTGCGTGTGCGGGGAGTCTACGCTCCACCAACACGCACACACGAACATCAAGCATTCTGAATATACAGAATATTGCTTTACATACTAAACCCAAGTCTGCCTATACATACGTACAATCAGGAAAGGTAACAATCCTTTACGTTCCATGACATACTAAACTCGAGTACACCTATACATATGCACATTCAGAAAAGGTAACAAGCAATCCTTTAAGTTCCATGACTTAACAGTCCCCATTTTCCATTCCTTTTGAACAATATGTCTCGCTTTAAGTTGTCAGGCAACTCGGTCTTCAGGCCTTATGTATCCCGTTCTTCCCGGACTGAAGAAAAGCATATCCATCTCCTTTTCAAGGCCAATAGGCCTGGGTCAAAAGGCACGTCCAGGTCACCAGGGGGCGTAACAGCAAAGGCCTTTGATGGCAGTAGCGGTGTGGGGGGCGTGATGGCACAGCAGTAGGATCAGTAAAGGAGCCCGCAGCTCTCTGTCTGGCAAACCACACACTTGTGATTGTGGCCCCACATGGCTCTTTAAGGCCTCAGAGATTGCTCGCCAGGTGCCGAGCAATTCCACTGCAACCTTGTCGTTTTTAGTTGCAGAGTCCCACACCTTGACCTCAGTTTGGTCCCATATTTCAGGCTCATAAATTGTCCAATTGTTAATAAGGAGCATAAGCTGTAAGGTTACCAGGACAGTCTTTGTTTCTAAGGACGTATGATTCCCCCTAATGCACAGCTGCTTACCAGCAAGAGGCAGTTGTGTGCACAGGTCCGCTTCTCTCAGCTTGAGCTTCTTTCCAGCTCCGGTGCACCTGTTTCCAGCGACTTTCTGTACGAGTTTCTTTGAGTAGTTTGCTGAGTTTGGCCAAACCCATCTTCATGAGGCAATCAATGTGCCTGTTCCCATCCTGGTCTCTGTTCTGCTAGCCTGTTCCTTTTCATTCCTTCTTTCTGCTTCTTTATTGATGACATAGATTTGTTATAAATGAAGTCTCAACTCACTCTGAATTTAGTAACATAAAAGAATATTTATAAAAGGCAAGTAAACAGCACTGGGGGCACAGGGAGCCTATGCTCTACCAACACGCACACCCAACCGTCAAACTTTCCAAATATATAAAGGACATTGCTGTTACATATTTACAAGAAACCTGAGTATGCCTATACATATGTAATCCTATCCCCACTTCATATTATAATTCTCTTTGTGGTGGTCGTTGTTGGTGAAAGGCTCACGGTTTCCCCATCACCATTAGCAACCTTTTGTTCCAGACTGTGGAAGCGGCTTCGACTGTCTCCCTCTTCTGCACATGCTCTGCCCACCACAAGGTTCCCAAAAGCAACAAAACGTGATTGCTTTTCCCGCATTCCATTAACCCATGAAACCACACTAATAATATTATTATCGTATAACATTAAACAATAAATGTTAACAGTTCTAGCCAGCAACCCCCCCAGCAACTTCCGTGCCTTAACAGAGGGGAGCAAGCAACCCCAGATGGCAGGGCATCGCCTCAATCACCCTTCTTTATTTCCTCTAAACTCTTTACATTCCTGATGACCTCATCGCTAAGAGTCTGATGTTATCACCAACCAGGAGGCTTTCTGACCCCCATTGCCATATTCCCAAATCTCCCCCTTCCTTATTAATATCAACCATTTTTCTGACATGAATTACCACTCCATATATAACAACTTCATCACACTGTGTTGCCTTTTTTTTATCTTGAGGGCAGGTTCCCGTCTTATACCCTACTCCCCAGAGCAGTTCTTTTCAAAACAACTTTTCATTGATCAAACAACTTCGAATGTAACAACAACAGCAAACACTCAGAAACTTCCATGCCTTAATGGCTGGAGAACAAGAAACCCCAGACTGCATGGAGTCTCCTGAATCACCCTTCTTTGTTCCCTCTAAAGTCTTATATATTCCTGATGGCCTCATCATTAAGAGTCTAATGTTATCATACAACCACGGGGCTTTCCAACCCCCATGGCCACACTCCCACATCTCCCCCTTCTTTATTAATATCAACCATTTTCTCAACACAAGTTACCACTCCATAAATAACACTAGGGAGCCTTACTGCAGTCCGTGAAGCCTGTAAATGTCATCTAGTGAAGTATTGCTCCTATCTTCAAAGGAGCTGGCATGATCTTGTCAAGATCAGATGTCTTAAATTACGTTACAGTCTTAAAAAAAAAGTAAATCTGATAACGAGATAAAAAACTATAAAAAACATATAAAAAATATACTAGCATTATAAAAACATTCACTCAACTTTTGGTTAACCACAAACTGAAAATAGCTTTCAGAGTGATACCCTTCCTTCCGAGTAGCGCAGTCATTTATAGTTTTGAAAAGTGCTGTAAATTATGTAACAGAAGAATTCTATTCTGAGGGAATTTTGCACACACTTACTCACAAGAATAATCCCAGAGAAGTGCTGGGCTGCTTAATCACAGTGGAGAGAAAGTGAAAAAACATTGCTTCCTGTTTCCTCCAAAATGCCATGTGTGAGAAATCACAGTAGCAGAAAAATAACTGCAACAAAATGTTACAATATTTTTGTCAGACATACTGAATTTGTACTGTGTTTATTCTTACTTTAAAATTACATGTATGTAAAACACCTGTGTGAGACAACATTATTTACTGTTTAACATAAGGAATTTGGTAAAGTATATATTTTTTTCTTTTATCTTACATCTCAAGGCACAAAGAGATCAGAAGGACTAGGGACAGAATGCATGTTCCTTAATTTCTAGTTTCCTAATAATCTATTGTGAGACAGTTATGTTTTACATATGTTATTTGGATTTTGACTTTTCAAAATATTCCATTGCAGGAATATGCTGTGGGAGTTTTGTTTTGGTATTCTGGAAATTTTAAATTTACAGATAATTTTGGAGTTTATTGGTAAAAGTTGGTGACTTTTGATAAGGCATTTCTGATAATATCTAAATTTACTTTCCCCCCCCCCGACTTAAAATTCATGTTTCTTCTAGTGTAACCCTGATGCTTTGCCCTGTCAAACAAGGATGAGGTATGAACTTGTATTAAATGAGTGACATGCACCAAGAGGATGAGACCTCTCCGTGGCTAGAATCATTGTTGGTACTCAGGTGGGTGTAACATACGCTTTATTTTGTATGTGCCTGCATATGCTGACCCCAAATTACATTCTGATCTGCGTGACTAACCTTTGAAAATGATAGATAATTTAGGAAAGAAGAGGGGGAGAGTGAAGGAGTACAATCCTTCAATTGACATAAACCTGCATTAGCCCATTTGTCATAACTCGTTGATTTCACTACCATGACATCAATTTATCTAGTTGAGCATCTAAGCTGTTTATATAGAGATTACACTGTTTTTAGCAAAGCTGTGATGATTTATGCCTACTTACAAGCTGCCCTCTACAATGTATACCTTACTGTACTATACACACAAGAACCTGTTTGAAAGAGTTAGAGCTGCTGCTGTACACCTGATGTGTGTCAAAGTAATTGCAGAAAAATGAGAAACAGCAGGAAAGCCACAACCCAATGTCTCAGTACATAACCTCTTCTCTCTGTCCATAAATATTTTCTCAGCTACATCTCAGACAGCACACCTCTACCTTAACTCAGTCCTCTTTTCCACAAAACTTCTGTTAGATTTTCTTCTTTCCTTGTAATCAATAATAGTCATGGATGATTAGAATAATTGTGTCAGCCCAATGTGAAGAACGGAGTTAAAAGTGCTGCATTGAGATTGTGACTGGATAAAATAGGTGTGGAGGGCTGACGAGATCTCATTCAGCCATGGATCACTCAGCACAACACTATCTTTCTTCTCTGCTTCCCTCTACTGTAAATGCAGTCTGAGTGTGCCTGCTGTCAGTTTCCTAACTAAACTGTTGTATACCTGGAACTAGATAGTCATTAAATGTAAGTGTGTTGATCCTTCACCAGCATTCACGTCTTGGACAGAGCTTGATTTCAGTTCTCTATGAAGTGGCAGTTCATAATGTCCACTGTTTAAGCATTCTGTTCATGACAACTAGACATACAGCTTCCTGTGGCAGAAGTAGTGCAAATAACAGGCCTTGTGCAGTTGTGGTGTACTCTTGGCACTAAGTGTCTTAAAGGAGGAATGTTTAACCTGGGAGCCACCTGTAAGGGTTATGATACATTTTATCTGTATGCTATTCTACTGTTTGGAAAAGCAAAAAGAAACCATGTGGCTATTGAATTACTGATGCCTTACAGAGGGTCTAGGATTACTGAATATATTCACTTGTATCTGACTTTTTAGACATAATATAGATCTGTGGTCAGCAATTATGCTTTCCAAGTATAAGTAATGATGCCAAGCAAATGATATGTATCATGTTCTGTCAAAACTGGTTTCCTCTCTTTGAGTATTTTTTCCATGTAAATGGTAATTGTTTGTCTGGAAGTACGGCATTGCATCTTACTTCTATTCAACTGTTTCTTCAAGAACAACTGGTAATTTTTATGAAAATTCTTGCTATACTTAAAATATGCAAAATTCCTTAGACTTTCCCTTGTACTTCAGAAGTTAACTGGAATGTTTCTGTGTTGCAAAATAAATTAAATAAATAAATACATTAAATTCATATTGCTCATAGATTGAATGTTACATTTTTCTTCTCAGAATAAGCCTCATGCTGATGCTGTATGCATAACCATATCATATCTGACTTACCAAAGAGTAAGGGCTTATATTAAGTTAGAGACAGTGGGTTGGACAGAAGATACAAGTAAAATCTGAAGTCACTGATGAAGCAGATTCCTTTGTGACTTTCAGATCTAAGTGAAATTCTCCATCAGAATGAGAAACTTGTTTCAACTGCTTGTACTTGGTGTTTGACTGCTCAAATACAGAAGTTATTCCCTAATCTCATGAAAATGCAGGCAGAGTCATTTTCACCAGGTCTCTCAGCAGTGCATATAGACAAATTTAAGTGGACATTCTTTAGATAACCCCTTCCTTGTGGTATAAGAGGGAGGAACAACTCTGCTAAAAAGTTTTAAGAATCAAAGCTTGAGATATGAACTGAACTTCTCACTTTCCATAAGGTCCCTATTATGCTGCTTTCTAGAGGCTGTATTTATGACCCTCTATTGCGGTCCCTGATGGATTTATGTGCATCATCTGTTGAAACATACATGTATATAAGTCTTCCTCATCAAACAGCCTCAGCAACAAATACTCACATTGGTTAGAACATATCCATCTTGTTGAAGAGGAAATGGGCTTATCAGTATTCAAAAATAGCTGAAGATGAGCTTCCATGGGGTACGGTCACCCTCCAGGTCGAGATGGAGTGGTGAGCATTTCTTTCGGCCAGTTATGAATTTTATCAACTTTCAGTGATAAAAGGCTGTCTGAGAGCTAGATGCAGATGATTTATTTTTAAAAAGTTTAGACTTTTTTTTTTTTAATTCCATAACTGTTGTATTATCTCCCACAGTGAAATACGATCAGCATACATTTACTTATTTCATTAAATCAGTACAAGTAGAGGTGCTTGGTAAAAGCAGGGTATTATGGTCAGAGTATACACCCAAGTATAATGATAAGTAATGCAATTACTTACAAAAATCCAACTGCAAAAAAATATTTAAAAAATTAACCCTTGGAATGTTGTTTATTCATTTGTATTTGAACCTGTAAAAGCACTCTTTTGTATCTGTCCTGGTTTCAGTTAGCACAGAATTAATTTTCTTCCTAGTAGCTGGTGGAATGCTGTGTTTTGGCTTAGGATGAGAAGAGTGCTGATAACACCCCGATGCTTTAATTGTTGCAGAGCAGTGCTTATACTAAGCCAAGGACATCTCAGCCTTTACTCTGTCCTGCCAACAGGCAGGCTGGGGGTGCAGTAAGAGCTGGGAGGGGACAGACCCAGGACAGTATCACAATCCTAAAACATTTACTTTGGGTGAAATAGCCAGTTGTTGCTGGAAGGACAAGCGCTCACAATGTATTGTCAGCACTGCCAGTTCTAGTGATGGAAATAATGCTTACTGATTTTTACTTTGTTCACTTCTGTCGAACAGTTCAACCAAGAGACTGTGCTGTGTTCCATTTCATGTCATGAATTACCTAAAAATTTACTAAATTTCAATCATTTTTCGGTCCTTGTGAAGAAGATGGAGTACGACAGATGCTGCCCAAGACATGACTAGAATACATTAGGGATTGCATAATTGTAACTGAAGATTTCTAAGGACTATACTACCACTGAGAAATATCAAAGTGAAAGAACACACGTGACTTTCTGAAAGGGACCTCAAAAAAATTATATAAATAAGACAGGTGTCCAACTCCTGACAATTCTCTAATTGGTAAACAAAGCAATCCATTCAGAGATTGGATCAATGTAGGGTTTCTAATAGAAAAATACATGTGAGGAGAATTATATCCGTCTGGATGTTCTTCCCCCTGCAAAGGTGTTTTATTTAACTAGATAAATGTATTGGGCCTAAGGGAGGTATGACTGAGTTCCTTCTGATGGTTAGGTTTCCTTTGCTTTGAAAATGTACTAATTAAGGGGAGAGGAGAAAAATATTTTAATATTTATGTGTATGTAACATGTATATGATATGCATTTTTTAAGTATGTATCTACTTATACAAAGATAAATAAAAGTATTTCAGAAAATGAAAAACAGGATGCAAAGATCAACAGAGTTCAGTTATTCTCATGCTTGAGCAGCCTGTCCTGTTCTGAAGTCCATAATGTCTTGACATTTAGGTAAGCATATCTGTTCTGGGTGATAAGAGGATAGACTTCTTAAGTGAACTAATAAATTTAACTTCTTCCCCCATTTTTTCCTTCCTTTTTTTCTTTTTTTTTTTAGTAGCAGATTTCTCTGTTTCTTTTCTTTTGCTGTCAGCAGAAGGAATGTTCCATCCCTTCGGCTTTGGCATCTGTTGGCAAGATGCAGCTATGCCACCTGCTCCTTCCTGCCTAAATGATGTGGCTAGGGTTTATTTAATGGGTAGGAGCCTGCCAGAGCTCGCCACGTTCACTTTGTGAATATAATGTCAGCAATCTGAATCTGCACTCCCAGTCCCCCCACAGAAACAGCTCAGCTTGTTACCATTTCTAGCACATCTTCACCTGTTGCTTGATTTACTGCAGCTATAAAGCAGCAATATCCTTCTATTTCTGGGAGGCATAAAAAGAGGCATCGTTATTTTAAGTCACCAGAATTTTAAGTCACCAGAATTTATTCACATCAGCATTATGCCATGTTTTTCCCTTTCCCCATTTATCTCTGTGTCAAAGCAAAATGCTTTCCAGTGTAGGAAGAGCCACTGGAGCAAAGCAGTGTGCTGCAGCACTGACTTTCAGTAACTATAAGCAAGGAGTTTCTTAGCTCACTTTATGAATTATTTCATGAGCAGTGGAATTATGGAAGTAGCATCCTACAGACTATCCCAAAGCTCACTGTCTTCGGTGTCAATCAAGAAGGCAGAAGTTCAGAATGAAGGTTTCCTATGGTTAAAATACACATAAGGGTACCCTAAGGATTCTCTGCTGACTAATGAGGTACACTCTCACAATCCAATAATTTCCTTGATAGCAGCACTAAAATAGTCCTATTTCAATCTGCCTGTTTGTTTTCATGAAAGACAGAAAGATAGAAATATTCAATATGGTTGAGATCTCCTGTTGAGTCTAAATTGCTTGAATTTTGTCAAGATTCAGAAGTCAATAGGCAAAGCAGAGATGGGTGAACTAAACAGTCAAGATCCTGGTGAGGGAGTTTGTTTAAAAAACTTTTTTTTTTTTTTTTTGAGTGTTTTGCTTTTCCAGGAGTTAGCAGCTTTAGTTTGTGCTTGTACCACTTCATATCACAGGATGTGTGATGGTGTGTGGAATCTATCACAGAATCACAGAATTTCTAGGTTGGAAGAGACCTCAAGATCATCGAGTCCAATAACAGTCCTCCACTAAACCGTATCACTAAGCTCTACATCTAAATGTCTTTTAAAGACCTCCAGGGATGGGGACTCAACCACTTCCCTGGGCAGCCTGTTCCAATGTCTAACAACCCTTTCGGTAAAGCAGTTCTTCCTAACATCCAACCTAAAACTCCCCTGGCACAACTTTAGCCCATTCCCCTCTTCCTGTCACCAGGCATGTGGGAGAACAGACCAACCCCCACCTCGCTACAGCCTCCTTTAAGGTGTCTGTAAAGAGCAATAAGGTTGCCCCTGAGCCTCCTTTTCTCCAGGCTGAACAAGCCCAGCTCCCTCAGCCGCTCCTCGTAAGACTTGTTCTCCAGGCCCCTCACCAGCTTCGTCACCCTTCTCTGGACTCGCTCAAGCACCTCGATGTCGTTCTTGTAGCGAGAGGCCCAAAACTGAACACAGTACTCGAGGTGTGGCCTCATCAGAGCCGAGTACAGGGGGACAATCACTTCCCTAGCCCTGCTGGTCACACTGCTTCTTATACAAGCCAGGATGCAGTTGGCCTTCTTGGCCACCTGAGCACACTGCTGGCTCATAGTCAGCCGACTATCAACCAGTACTCCCAGGTCCTTCTCTGCCTGGCAGCTTTCCAACCATTCCTCTCCCAGCCTGTAGCTCTGCTTGGGGTTATTGCACCCCAGGTGAAGGACCCGGCACTTGGCATTGTTGAACTTCATACAGTTGACCTCAGCCCATCGGTCCAGCCTATCCAGATCCTCCTGCAGAGCCTTCCTACCCTCGAGCAGTTTGACACACGCACCTAACTTGGTGCAATCTGTGAACTTACTGAGGGTGCACTCAATGCCCTCATCTAGATCATCGATGAAGATATTAAAGAGGACCGGCCCCAGCTAAAAACCCTGGGGAACACCACTAGTGACTGGCCTCCAACTGGATTTGACTCCATTTACCACGACTCTTTGGGCCCGGCTATCCAGCCCAGGAAGCGTACGCCAGTCCAAGCCATGAGCAGCCAGTTTCTTGAAGAGAATGCTGTGGGAAACAGTGTCAAAAGCCTTGCTGAAGTCAAGGCAGACCACATCCACAGCCTTTCCCTCATCTACCAAGCACGTCACTTTGTCATAGAAGGGGGTCAGGTTCATCAAGCAGGACCTGCCTTTCATAAACCCGTGTTGGCTGGGCCTGATTGCCTGTTTTCCCTATGAGGGTATCTGGGAACTGGTGGCAATGCTTATAAGGAAGATCTTCATTACTTAAACACAACAAAAGTGTTTTTTAAAGAAGGCTTTAATAATTAATGATATAGAGATCAGAACTTGCCAAACTTTTTGCCCAATTATATGATCGGAAACTATGACTCAAAGGGGGGGGGGGGGGGGAAAGGGGGGGGGAAGAAAAAGTAAGGGGAATTCCAAAAGAAATGTGAGTTTTTAGCACACAAACAAGATGTTTTCATTGTATTAGCTGAAATTGACTCACAGAAAGCAGACTCCACAATCAGTAAGATTGTAAAGTAGGTATGTTTATTGAGCGCTGGGCAGCACAGGGGGTTGTCCCACCAAAGTCGTGCGCCCCTAACATGGCAACTTGCTTTGGTTATATGCAGTAAAAATTTGCATATGCATGAGGTTTCCCACTATGCCTATACATATTCATAACCCGTCCCCACTTAGTATTAAAATTAGCTCCAAGAAGTCATTTCCATAAACTACTCCCGTCTGCGCTTGCCTTCTGGTGGTGGGTGCTAAGGATCATGAGGATGAAGTAAGATGTCTTCATCAGGGTTGAACTTTTCACCTCGTCTCCTTGCACATGCTCTCTGAGGCCTTGGTCACAATCTGGGCCATAAGGTTGGTTTGGTCCAGTTCTCCAGATCTGAGGGGCCCCTGCTATCTCAAGGCCTTGCATGTTTGACGTCCGTTTTTAAGAACAGTCCTCCTTATCTCTGAGCCCTTGATCACAGTCCGAACCATATGGTTGGTTTGATCTGCTTCTTGGGATCCCAGGGGCTCCTGTTATCTGGAGGCCTAAGCGCAGCACAGGCGTATCGCAAACGTAGCACATATTAAGCAATGAGTGTTGCCTACATATTCATTTTTAATCAATCACTCTCTAATTTCTAATCCCATGTTTCAAAATCATATGGTTTAAATGAAATACGTAAATTGGTTCTTACACAAACTTGTCAGTTAAATCTCTCTTGCTTCAGTACAGTTCAGTGCCACTGAATTAGCATTTTGCAATGAGAAAGTATTTTAATGGAAAATGTTGGCCAGTTTTGGTCTTTATAATACTTTCAATCAGGGTAAGAGGCTATTGTTTTTTGAGAAAAGTAGTCCAAACTTCCTTTCGTGAACAAGTCTTGCTTTAAGCTGGCAATTCTATTGTGAAGGAAGTTGGTGAATCTCTCCATCTTAAATGAATTGAAGCAGGTATGCTCAAAATGCTTTCATTCCTTGTTCTAGAAAAACCTTTCTGTCTTTCTTTCTACTTTCTATTGTTTCCACAGGAAAAATAATGTTTTTCTTCATATACAGAGAGGGCTGTCCTACTTCATTGTTATGAAATACTGAAGCTGCCTGCTTTATTTTGAACTTGTTGTTTCAATTTGCTTTATTCCACTTACTAATTAGTCTCCCTTCTGTATACTGAGAACTGTGGGCTGAGGAGTTGTTTTGATTTCCATCTAGCATAAATGGAATTTTCTTGAAAATAAAATTAAATGTTAAATGAAGGGCAAAAGGTGGGCAGTCATTTCAAATAGTTAATAACACTAATTGCAATCCAAGGTTCAATTAATGTTTTGTTAGGAAAAAAATAAATCCAAGAAAAACTGACCTACAGGGAACAGCAGGTACTCATTAGAAGTGTTAAGCTGAACATTAATAATACCATTGTGTGTTTGGAAACTGTTATAAATTCGCTCAGTCCCAAAGTAGGATTAAATAAAAAAATAGGATTTATTAAAAGAATAGGTTTAGGACCTATCACCCACCCACGAATCCCTGAATTCTATAGGAACCACTTCTATAGAATCACTCCCTTTACCGGCCAAGCCCCCCCACAGGAGACTGGAACCGGTGAGAAAACAAAAAGACCTCCACACTGACTTTAGAAGTCTCAGTTACACTCTCACACACACAAACACTGGCAACCGCACCTTTACCCAACCGAACAGGATACCCAAACACTTACGACTCCGTCGTCTTCGTCCAGATTTTCGCACGCAGAATTACGGGCAAAAAACAACAATGCTGCAGCCGGCAAGGGAGCTCAAAAAAATCAAATTCTTTGCTTACCTTTATTCAGGTTCAGGATGGCATTAGTCCCGACCTGACTCAAACAGGATCCACCAAATGGTGGGGCGCCTCTCCTAGATCAAATCAGAATTCAGGAACCATAGCCATCCCGGATAAGCCCCCAAATTGTTATAAATTTGCTCAGTCCCAAAGTAGGATTAAATAAAAAAATAGGATTTATTAAAAGAATAGAGGTAAGCAAACAGCGCTGGGTGCACCGGGAGTCTCTGCTCCACCAGGATGCACACCAGTTACATCAAGTAGCTGATTTTTATGCTCCTAGATTAATACATATTCATTACTACTTCTAAAAAAAAAATAGGTTATTATAATTATCTTCCAGGATCCGGTCCCTCCCACTGGAGCATGCGCATCAGTCTCCATTGCTCCCTCTGGGGGTCTCTAGGGGTCTTTCATGCTGAAGGCTCATAGTCTTCTTCTCCAGGTTTTTTTTTCTTGTCCTTCCCCTTTGTACTCCTTGGCAGCATGTCAAGCTTACACAGCACCCCCTGCAAGTTTTGTCTCCTAGCCGTCCTTCAGCTTCTTTTTTTTTCTCCTTAATCTCCTGGCCACCTGGCCAGATATCAGGTGCTTGGATAGTGTCCCATTCAGAAGCCATAACAGTCACTAGTTGTTAGCAGTTGTTCTGAAACCCCCAGACATCAGAGACTTCAAAGAAAGAACATACAAACACAAATAGCTCTCTTATTGACACTTCACGAGTAGTTAAAACATTCCTCACAGGCCATTCACAGGGACACTCCAGTCACATCTATAGCAGTGCTAAATCAACCACAAAGAAGGCAAAAAGGCTGTAACTATTAGAAATAAGAGTTCAGAATAACAAAAGCAAATAGGCTCATGGATTTGAGGAATATTTCTGAAGATTTGATAATTTGACTATAATGAGGGGGAGACTGGGACACACTGGGAAGAAATGTTCCATACTGACACGAATCAGATGAACATATATAACAAAACCATGGCAACAGGAGGGAGTGGCAATAAAGATAATTTCCCAATGTCTAAATATATTAATTAAAAAATGTGCCCACATAACTCTTGTTCCCAATGGCAGGTAACCCCCCCTAAAACTCCATGGATATGGCACATGGATATGAAAGGGAAAAAATGCCCTTGAATAAGTGGTGAAAAAGTATGAATCCAAGGTGAGACACTGCCCTCCCCCCCCCCCCCCCCCCCCCCGCGAGTTTCTGTCTAAGTTGAAGATAAAAGTATTTGAAAATTTTTAGCCACAATGGAGGTAGAAAAGTCTCAGGCAGCTGACCTCAGGTTCTGTACTCATTATAATCTTCTAATAAGAAATCTTAGGAATAGTCTACCTGAGAAGACTCAACTTCACAGGGAGTTTTTAAGAATAAGGTTTGCTATCATGACTTTTTTATTCCTCTTCATAGCATGGTGTGGTTTAACCCAGCCAGCAGCTAAACAACACACAGCTGTTCGCTCACCCTCCTCCCTCCCTCTCTGGGATGGGGGAGAGAAATGGAAAAGTGAAGCCTGTGAGTTGAGATAAAGACAGTTCATTAAGAAAATAAAATAATAATGATGATGATGATGATGATGATGATGATGATGATAGTACTACTAGTAATAATGTATATGAAACAAGTGATGCACAATGCAATTGCTCACCACCCGCTGACTGATGCCCAGCCTAACCCTGAGCAGCCGGCCCCCCCACCCCAGCTAGCCACCCCTATATATTGTTCAACATGATCCCATATGGGATGGAATACCCCTTTCGCCAGCTTGGGTCAGCTGTCCTGAGTCTGTCCCCTCCCAGCTCTTGCTGCACCCCCAGCCTGCCTGCTGGCAGGACAGAGTGAGAAGCTGAAAGTCCTTGGCTTGGTGTAAGCACTGCTCTGCAACAATTAAAACATCAGGGTGTTATCAGCACTCTTCTCATATCTCTAATATCTCTTCTCTAATCCAAATATCTCTAATATCTCTTCTCTAATCCAAAACATAGCACCCTACCAGCTACTAGGAGGAAAATTAACTCTGTCCTAACTGAAACCAGGATACATGATCAGGAGGATTGCAATGGGACAAAGTCATAAACAACATTTATCGAACACATAATCTGGACATCTTATGCTGTCAGTGAAGCTAAGCAATTACCATATCATAACCTGTGAGATGAAAAACACGTTAATTCCAAATTTGACCTAAGCTGATAACTCCAATGGCATGAGTATTCATCCAGTTTGTTCTTCCTTAAACTTTTTGTTATCAATGATTGACTACAAATGGTGGATGTTGCTTTGCTAATAATACCACAAAGTACTGAAATGGAAGTATAGACTAAGTGTAAAAGTTGTTCTTGGAGGAACGATGAGACCCAGGAAATTAATCAGCCACTGCAGCATTCAGTGGCTCATTCTGCATTACACAGGGTTTTCTAACCTGCAGCATTTCTCTCTCTACTTTTTGGGCAAATCCAAAGTATTCTGACTCTGGGATTCCCTATGGTCATTAGTCTCTGAAGAAGTTAAATCTGTGTCAAGATGCGGGGGACAGAGAGACTTGTGTGCGTGAGGTGCGAGCAGGTGGACGACCTGGTCCGCCTCATGGCAGAAATCTAGGAGTAATTTGAAAGGTTGAGGGATATCAGAGAGTGTGAGTGTGAGATAGACTTGTGGAGCGACTCCCTGTGCAGCCTGAAGGACAAGCACCGGGGTGAGACACCCCAAATGGGAGTGGACCCTCTGTCCTGTTGCTCTCAGGCAAAGGCAGGTGACCTAGGAGTTGAGGAGAAATGGAGACAGGTCCCTGCTCGACATCACAGGCAATGTCCTCCCCCACTGGCCCCCACCTTACCAGGTGACCTTACGCAACAGGTTTGAGGCTCTGGAGCTTGAGAGACCAGTAGCTGAGGAAGAGGTAGAAAGTCTACCCAGCAGGATGCCTAGGGTGAGGAAGTAGACTCCACACCTCAGGACTGCCTCCACCAAGACAGAAAGAAGGGTGATTGTTGTGGGCAACTCCCTTCTCAGGGGAACAGAGGGACCTATTTTTCGGCCTGACGCTCCCTACCTGTAGAAAAGTCTGCTGCCTCCCTGGGGCCAGGATCAGGGACATTGCCAGGGACGTTGGTTGCTTCCCAACCTGGTTCGCCCCTCTGACTATTATCCTCTTTTGATAGTCCAGGCTGGCAGTGATGACATTGAAGAGAGAAGCCTGAAGGCTATCAAACAGGACTTTAGGGGACTGGGACAATTAGTGGAGGGAGCGGGAGTACAGGTGGTGTTTTCATCCATCCCTATGGTGGCAGGGAGGGGTACAGAGAGGACACGGAAAGCCCACCTGATAAACACGTGGCTCAGAGGCTGGTGCCAACACAGAAATTTTGTTTTTTTTTGACCATGGGGCGCTTTACTCGGCACCCGGCCTGATGGCCACAGACAGGTCCCTATCTCTAAGGGGAAAACGGATCCTGGGCCAGGAGCTGGCAGGGCTCATTGAGAGGGCTCTAAACTAGGTAAGAAGGGGGACGGGGCTGAAACAAGGCTTGTTAGAGCTGTGCCAGGGGGAACAATGGCAAGGCTGGGAGAGAAGGCAATGGCCCAGCTGAAGTGCATCTACACTAATGCACTCAGCATGGGCAACAAACAGGAGGAGCTGGAAGCCATTGTGCGGCAGGCAGGCTACGACTTGGTTGCCATCACGGAAGCATGGTGGGACCACTCTCATGACTGGAGTGCTGTAATGACTGGCTATAGGCTCTTCAGAAGGGACAGGCAGCATGGAAGGGGTGGTGGTGTGGCTCTCTATATCAGAGAAAGTTTTGATGTCGCAGAACTTGAAGCTGGGAATGATAAGGTTGAGTCCCTGTGGGTTAGGATCAGCAGGAAGGCCAACATGGCAAGCATCCTGGTGGGGGTCTGTTATAGACCGCCGAACCAGGATGAGGAGGCAGATGAGGAGTTCTACAAGCAGCTGGCAGAACTTGTGAAATCACCAGCATTTGTTCTCATGGGGGACTTCAAATTCCCTGACAAATCCTGGAAACACAACACAGCCCAGAGAAAGCAGTCTAGTAGGTTTCTGGAGAGCGTGGAAGATAGCTTCCTGACACAGCTATCAGCGAGCCTAGAAGGGGAGGTGCCCCGCTGGACCTTCTCTTCACAAACAGAGAAGGACTGGTGGGAGATGTGGTGGTTGGAAGCTGTCTTGGGCAGAGTGACCACGAAATGGTAGAGTTCTCTATTTTGGCGAGGCCAGGAAGGGGACCAGTAAAACTGCTATGTTGGACTCCCAGAGGGCTCACTTTGAGCTGCTCAGGACACTGGCTGGCAGAGTCTTTTGGGAGGCAGTCCTGAAGGGCAGAGGAATCCTGGAAGGCTGGGCACTCTTCAAGACGGAAATAAATGGCACAGGAGCGGTCTGCCCCACGTGCCCAAAGACGAGCCGGCGGGGAAGAAGACTGGCCTGGCTGAACAGAGAATTGTGGCTTGAGCTTAGGAGAAAAAAGAGGGTTTAAAATCTTTAGAAAAAAGGGCAGGACACTTGGGAGGACTATAAGGATGTTGTAAGGATGTGCAGGGACAAAACGAGAAAGGCCAAAGCTCATCTGGAGCTCAGTCTGGCTACTGCCGTTAAAGACAACAAAAAATGTTTTTACAAATACATCAACGCAAAACGGAGGACTAAGGAGAATCTCCAGCCTTTACTGGATGCGGGGGGAAACCTAGTTACAAAAGATGAGGAAAAGGCTGAGGTGCTTAATGCCTTCTTTGCCTCAGTCTTTAGTGGCAATACCGGTTGTTCTCTGGATACCCAGTACCCTGAGCTGGTGGAAGGGGATGGGGAGCAGAATGTGGCCCTCACTATCCATGAGGAAATGGTTGGCGACCTGCTATGGCACTTGGATGTGTGCAAGTCGATGGGGCCAGATGGGATCCACCTGAGGATATTGAGAGAACTGGCAGAAGAGCTGGCCAAGCCGCTTTCCATCATTTATCAGCAGTCCTGGCTATCGGGGGAGGTCCCAGTAGACCGGTGGCTAGCAAACGTGACGCC